CTTTCTCCCGCGGAGCGGCTGGTAGTTTCGAACCGCTGACCTTAAGGTTCGCAGCCCGATTCGTAACCACTACGCTACCAGAGCTCCTTAGGGGATGTAAAATGTGTACTGTTTATTGTAGCAAACCTCCGGTGGCGCATTAGGATAAGAACTATACTACTAGCCACAAGATTGGCGGTTCAAACCCACCAGCCATCCATCGGAAACCCTATACAGGATCGCTATGAGTCAAAACTGACTGGCTGCCACTTAACAGCAAACGTCCTGTACTGTTTGTTTCCGCCTTGATCAGTTCCTGTAATCCTATGCTTTCGTAGGATTTTCGAAATCTGGGCAGTACAATAAGAAATCAACAAACATCTGTTGTTAAGTGCCCAACCCTAAAGGGCAGCACAGATGCCTCAAATGCAGCACGTCTGAACAGTAAACTGATTCTACAGTCGTCTGTTTAGGAAACTATATCACAGTCTTTCAAGTAGCTCATCAACGTTAGGACCTCTCTCCCTTACACCCAAACATTCATTCAGGCCCAAGACTTGAGTCCACCGAGGTGGAAGGAACATCTCTCCAGTCCCGCAGTATGCCCATCCTCACTACCCCACACTGCACAATAGGCTTTCTTCTTTCAGCTTGTGAAAACCTGGAGTAATTATGGTTAGAGTGCTCTGCAGCTTAGAAAGATGTCAAAGAAACACCAGTTTTAATCAAAGTGTGAGTACTAGTGGTTTGGTAAAACACAATCCAGGCAACATGGCAGGGTTGGTAGGATCCAGGTGCAAATCCTGCCTCTGGCACCTTATTAAGAAACTTGCTTAATGTTTTAAAATTTCAACTTGTTATCTGTTTGGTAGTGGTAGTATGCTATGGAGGCAATAGTGACCCTGCATAGCATTTCCGAGGCTGTAAATCTTTACTGGAGCAGAAAGCCTCATCTTTCTCCCTTGGAGCAGCTGGTAGTTTCAAACTGCTGACCTTGAGACTGCAGCCTGACCTGTAATCACTATGCTACCCTAGAGAGCTAATTATACAGTGAAATTGTGAGACTTAAGGAAGAAGATAATGACATTTGGAATCCTGGTGTGGTGCTGTAGAATAAGCACAGGCCAGCAAGGTTGGTTTGAACCACAAAGTTGTTGGTTCAAACTCACTAGTCGCTCCCAAGAACCCTGTACTGGGTTGCTATGGGTCAGAACCGACTCAATGGCACTTAACAACAACAATAGTGAAGCCCAGTGACTGACCTATGCTCAATTATCTTTTTTTTTTTCTTTTAGTTTGTGCTTAGTGCCTCAATACGTTTGATTAAATCTGATCTAATCAAAGAGTCTGGAGTTGAATTTGGGTTCAGGAGCATAAGCCCTTATTGAATAAATGCCTAGATAAAACCTTAGACTTATACGGAGATTTTTATTAGAACATGAATAAAACTTGGGGTATGCCTTCGGTCATAGATCTGGTTTATGTTTTGATTTTTTTTCTTCTTTCTTTTGCTTTGCCATATTGTTGTTGTTGTTGTTAGGTATGGTCGAGTCGGTTCTGACTCTTAGCAACCTTATATACAACTGAACAAAATACTGTTAATAGCATAATTAATTTCAGTTCCCTCACAGAGTATTACCATTATAAGCAAACCATGTATGTATTTGATTCAGCTTAAAATAGACTTAGCTATTATATCTCCCTAGAATATTGTTTTAATAAAATTAATTCTATGTACAAACTACACAATTATTCTGACACACAAATTTTCAATTTCATTGGGTCATGAAGAATTTAAATACCTGTCATACAAATTAGTTGTTATTTGTTTCATTTGCTTTAGTGTTAAGGCACAGTGAAGATTGCTAAACAATGAATATAAAATAGTACACAGTTTGCAAACACTAGTACTACAAGTATTATATGAAGAAGAACGTGGCATCAGGATTAGAAGAAGAGTCACTAATCTGTGGTCTGCAGATGACACAACCTTACTTGCTGAAAACAAAGAGAACTTAAAATACTGATGAAGATGAGACTACAGCCTTCAGTACAGATTATACCTCAATTTAAAGACAACTAAAATCTTCACTAGACAAACCAACAGCATCATGATAAATTATGAGAAAAAGGAGCACAAATGTCATCTTCTCTCCAAAGGATACAAAATAAGGTTGGAGCCAAAATAGAATAAGCTTGGTTCTAGCATTAATGGAAACTACCCTGTTTTCATATTCATGTTGTGAACCAGCCAAAGCCAATTCTTGGTGCACTGTCATCTCCTGGAACAAAGACATTCTAAACTTCCTCAAGCCCTAAATCACTCCCTCCAAGCACATTTCAAATTAGCCAATCCAGGAGAGACAAGACTGTATGGTCTAAACCCTAACCAACAGTGTGAGACACAGCCTCGCATCAGGGATAAAACCAGAGTGGACTGCCCACCTGGTTTGCTCCTGTGCCACTACACACCCTTCCGCAGAAGTCAAATTTTGCCTTGCCAAGATGCTTTTTATTTTACCTAGTGTCTGTTTGTGACATCAGTGTTTATTTCCAACAAAATGAAGAAAATACTGAAGTTGTCAAAGACTTCAATTTGTTTGGATCTACTGTCATTGTGTGGTGCTGTGGGTTAATGCTCTGGACTGCAAAATCGGTTTGAACCACAAGGTCAGTGGTTCAAGTTCACCAACTGCTCCTCAGAAACCCTATATAAGATCACCAAGGGTTGGAACCAACTTGATGGCACATAACAACCACAACACAACCATTGATCTGAAGGCAGCAGTCAAAAATCAAAGGGTGTATTGCATTAAGCAAATTTGCCACACAAGGTCTCTTTAAAGTGTTATTAAGTAAAGCTGTCACTTTGAGGACATGATATTTCAATTGCCTCATATGTATGTGAAAGTTGGATAATGAATACAGAAGACCTTAGAAGAATGGATTCATCTAAATTATGGTGTTGGTGAAAAACACCGAAAGTACCATGGACTGTTAGAAGAACTAACAAATCTGTGTTGGAAGAAGTACAGCCAGAATGCTCCTTGGAAGCCAGGATGGAAAGACTTTGTCTCTCGTACTTTGGATATGCTAACTGGAGGGACCAGTCCCTAGAGAACAGCATCGTGCTTTGTAAAGTGGAGGGTCAGCAAAAAAGTGTAGAATATGTCCAACAAGATGGATTACACAGTGACAACACCAACGGTCTCAAACAGAACAACACTTGTGGGGATGGCACAGGTCTGGGCAGTGTTTGGTTCTGTTGTGCAGAGAGGGTCACTATAAGAAACACTGGAACAACACTTAACAATAACAACAACAACGTACTTAGGGTAATAATTTTCTAGTAGCCATTTAATTAATTGTAAAAAACAACGCTTTTAGGGTAAAATATTTAGAAAAACACACTGCCTAATGGATTCTGGAAATGAAAAAACAAAAAGCTGTACAGGATATATAAGAAAGAGTCTGTATGTGATGCTGTAGGATAATCACTGAACTACTAACCACTAAATTAGCTGTTCAAACCCAGCAGCTGCTCCTTGTAAATCCTTTACAGGGTTGCTGCTGTGAGTCAAACACACTTGAAGGTACTTAATATTAATTAATGTTGATGACTTGTAATTCACAAGTATGACACCAGATGGCAAACATGAGCCTTGAATTTGTGAGGTTTCTGAAGGAATGGCAGAAATCATGTCCCTTTAAAACTTGATTACTTGTTTTAGCAGCAATGTTTTTTTAAAAAAAATAGGCCTTAATATCAGTTTTGACTCTGAAAACTTCTCCTACTTGCTTAATAAACTGTTGACCTTAACATATGCATTATGCTCATAGAAGATTTACAATGAGATGGGTTAAAAATAATAGCATATATACTCATATTAAGGAGCTTTGGTAGTGTAGTGGTTATGAATCTGGCTGCTAACCCCAAGGTCAACAGTTCAAAACTACCAGCTGTTACACGGGAGAAAGATGAGGCTTTCTGCTCCCAAGCCTCGGAAACCCTGTGTAGGGTCACTGTGAGTTGGAATCGACTTCATGGTACTTAACAACAACAACACTCATATTACATTTTGTTGGATGCAGTGTATTTGTTATTTTAGACACTATAGCTGTTGCTATGAATATATAGAAATGAAATAACTCGTATGTCTGTCTATAAGATTCAACATTATAAATGTTAAGTGCTGCTCAGCTAGTTCTAATTCAAAGCGACTCTGTGTAAGGGTTTCCGAGGAGCAGTTGGTATGTTTGTACTGCTGATCTTGCAGTTAGCAATCCAGTGTTAATCCTACAGCTCCGTACTAGGACTCCACATTATAAATAAAGATATGCTTTTATTGATGGTCATTAAAGTGAGAGCTTTAAACCTGCAGCATCAGCATCACCTGGGAACATACCAGAAATGCACGTTCTCAGACCACACCACAGGCTAACTGAATCAGAATTCTAGGGCTGGAGGCCAGCAATCTGATTTTAAAAATCTTCAGGTGACTGTAA